GATTTGTTGATAACAGGGAGTTGCAAGAAGGAGATCTAAGATTTCAAGCATGACCTGAGTAAGGAGTTTGAAATGTCAGACTTGGGAAATCTCTCATATTTCCTTGGCATCGAACTCTACAAGACAAGTAGAGGTTTGATGATGCACCAAAGAAGATATTCAGGAGAAATACTCAAGGGATTTGAGATGCAAGATTGCAACCAAACTTCGACTCCAGTTGAGCCCAGATTGCAACTGTCGAAGGATTCAGATGAAGATGATGTCGACCCAACCCAATACAGAAGACTTATTGGATCACATAGATACCTTTGTCACACAAGGCATGACTTAACATACAGTGTTGGTATGGTAAGTTGATTCATGCAGAAGCCAACGGTATCACACCTAGCAGCGGCGAAGAGGATACTGAGGTATCTGAAAGGAACTCTCGACTATGGCATTTTATTTCCAGAAGATGATGAAGGAAAAGAATGCAAGTTACTAGGATACACAGACTCCAGTTGGTGTAGTGATGCTGAGGATCGAAAATCCACAGCTGGGTATGTGTTTATGTTAGGTGGTGCACCAGTTGCTTGGAATTCGAGAAAGGAACCAGTAGTGGCATTGTCATCATGCGAAGTAGAATATATAGCTGCTTCTCTTTGTGCATGTCAAGCAACTTGGATGGTGAATTTGGTCGAAGAAATCACAAGGAAGAATCATGGAGCAATTACCCATCTTCCAAATCTTGGTGGCCACAATCTCATATTTTTTAGCCAAGAAGCGAGAATTGACTTGGGTAGCATCACGGTCAGAAATTTACTCACATAAGAGCATTGCCCGTCTAGTGAATCTATCATTGAAGGGAGAATTATTAAACCATATTTTATATTTAGTTAAGTATTTATTAGTTGTTAAGGGTTAGCTCCTATTTTATAGGAAGAATAATTTTTCTCTTTCTTGCACCCCAAATTGTGGCACTCTCATTCTATTGTAATATCAAGTTCATCAATGCACATACAAACAAATTATATTATGGTATCAGAGCTTGGTTTCGATCCAACGACTTGTGGATTATAGGCCCATCACGATTTTGCTACGCCCATACACACAAATCATATTAAGAATTAAACATAGGTTGATGGATGATTGTTGGAGTGGCGGGGTTTGAGGATTTGGAACGAACTAACAAAGTAAAGAAAGAATGTTGCATTTACGCCTAGGCTGGGACAACATGCTTAGGGAGTTTAAAGGCCCATTAACAACCAATTTGAGACCCAAGTTCCCTTATGGTCCCAAATAACATGGACTTACTCGTTCCAACTTAGAGAATTTTTTAGAGCACCCTATGTATTTTTATTGTACCATGTGAAATTTTACATATGTCTCCTGATTTCGGAGATATATCTCTGAAATATTTTGGAGTATAAGTCGCGCTAGACTCTTCTCCTTTCTCATTTCACACTTTTCTTCAATACACTCAAACTCAACTCTTCTCCTTCTCAATACACCTCAACTTAACTAAATCAATTTTTACCAAGTAAGGCTCAAAGGAATTCAAAGAACATCAAGCATCATCTATAAAATTATTCAACCTAATCAAAACCATAAATTTAAAGTAAGTTTTTCGAGTTTTCAATAAATATTTGAGTTTTAGTGTATATATGTATAAATAAATTATTAGTGTTAGAAATGTGTAGAAATCACATGTAACATAGTTTAGACTTAGTGTATGACTTGGTTGTTGGCTCAAAATGGTGATTTCATCATGTTTTTTCAACTTGCAAGTGGTACATTTTGCCATTGTCACGACCTCTAAGTTACAGAACATTCTGGAGATACATCTCTGGAATAGTTTAGCGTTTAATATACTTTGGGAATTTCCGAAGATGCATTTTCTGATTGAATTTTCTTCATTTCAAACTTATCATTAAATGATCATTTGATCAGTTTTTGTACTATGGATTGATGATAAGTTTATCTCAAAGTATCATGAATAAGATTGATTGAAGTTGATGATAGATAATCCCCTATGACTTTATGGTTGATCATCCATATCTCAATCTCTTTCTTCTTCTTGTTTTATTTTGAGTTGTGTTACAATGTTTTTGGAGAATGATTCTTGTATCATTTCTCTAATACGTATGACACATAAATTGTTATTGACTGGCCTCAGATAGTTGTGACTTCTGCATAAGTCCATTTACGTTTGCTTAACATAGCATTAAATTTGTCCTAAAGCGGTTTAATTCTCATTAACACTAACATTAACTCCTCATAAACCGGTTTATGTCATTTACATTCAAGCATCTTTATGTTTTTTATTTTATGCTTTATCTTTTTCGTTTTGCCTTTTGTTTATCTTAAAAACACAAAAAAAAATGATAAAATGAATAAAATCCTAGAAAACTTAATCTCTTGGACTTTGTGTTACTATCCTATGTTTGGATATTATGGACTATTGGACTTAGATCTAGGATTTCTTTTCCTTTGCTTCGAGTGATTCATCTGAGACTTTGATTCATCTGTCACTTTGCGATTCATTCGATACTTTGTGATGCTTGAGACATAAGATTCATTTGGAACTTTGATTCATCTGAGACCTTGTAATCTTTGCCTGGGCCTTGTGATATTCATCTGCTTATGTTTCTCATCTTGTGGCTTTATCCAAAGGTAAAGGAATGTTGGTTTTGACCTATGTCAAATGCTTACCTCTTCTTGGTTAGTTCACTTGCAAAAACAAAGGCTTTCTATTGGGCTTCCTGACAATGAGACTATTTACTTTATTCTTTAGGATAGTCTCTTCATCTCTCCTCTTCTTAAATTTTCAAAACTTCTTCTTATTTCAAAAACTTCTTATTTTCAAACTTCACTCTTCTTTCTCAATAAATCTTGACTTTGTCAAGTGATCCAAAAAATCTTTTCTAAACAAAAGTTAAAACACTTAAGCATGTTTAAGCTATTTTCAAAATCTCTATAAAACACAAACTTCATCAATCTTCTTTTTTGTGCCTTCATGCACTTTTCTTTTAATTTTTTTTCAAAAGATTAGATATGAGTCTATTCTTACAATGATGCAAACCACTATACTGAGAAATGATTGACATTTTCCACTTGAATGTTGAGATGTACTTGTGAGAAACAACTTTTAAAGATGCTGAGAAATGATTGACATTTTTTACTTGAATGTTGAGATGTACTTGTGAGAAAGTCTAAGTAAAGTTCTCCATATCAAAATTGATGCAAATGCATATTTCCTCGTACTTGTGGGTAGTAAATTGAGTTTTTCACTCGAATAGGACAAAATATTTTCTCGCTTAAAATCAATCAACAAACAACATAACCTTTTTTAACACAGATAAGAAAATGGTTCCTATGGAGTACCACATATGTGAAGAGTGATAATACATTCTCCTTACATAATCAACCCTCGTATTTATATCTCTCTTTTTTTAGCTTTTTGTGGGTTTTGTTCGATCTTTTCCCTTTTCTATTTGGAAACAATAAAGTTTGGTAGCGACTCTTGTTTTTTCTGAATTAAATTAATCAATAACTTAATCTCAAATGTTTCCCACCACGACAGTAAGGGAATTTAACATATTTAGGCGTGTGATAAGGTGATTTTTATATAATTGAAAGAACACAGGTTCCATCCCTCACTTATGCAAAAAAAAATTAAATTATAATTAATTTTGTTATATATATATATATATATATATATATATATATATATATATATATATATATATATATATATATATATATATATATATATATATAGTGTTTAATCAGAACTTGCATAAAGATAAATCTGCCATATATATATATATATATATATATATATATATATATATATATATATATATATATATATATATATATATATATATATATATATATATATATATATATATATATATATATATATATATATATATATATATATATATATATATATATATATATATATATATATATATATATATATATATATATATATATATATATATATATATATATATATATATATATATATATATATATATATATATATATATATATATATATATATATATATATATATAACGGTTGAATTCAGTATCCTAAGGCAGAAACCCACTAAGGAATTTCGTATAAAAAAGTTAAAAGTCATAGTTATCCCCCTTTTAAGTTTGTTTTTATTTACAATTGTTATTTCGATGTTTATTTTATATTTTTTTATTATTTTATATGTTACTATTATATGTTACTATTAAAAATGTCTTCCATTTATCCATTTACTTTGAAGTTTCTTTCTTTAATCTAGAATTGTGATTTCGATGTTTCATATGTTACTATTATATGTTACTATAGGTTTTCTAATTTTGCGTTTTCTTTACTTTTTTAATAAAATTCTGATTATTCTATGTCTTTTTATTTTATATTCTTTTATTTACAAACAAAATAAAGAAAGGGACAATCAAACCTATTTCATTTCAAAAGATTAATTTAATTTTATATATAATTTAATTTTATAAAAATAATAAGGGATAAAAGATTAATATTTTATTAGAATTTTTTAGGATTTTCAAATTGCAACTCACCACCACAATTACGCAGGAAAATTAGTGTTATGGTGATCGTCATTACAACGTTATTACATAAGAAAGAAATCAATATTAGCTTACGTAAGTCACATGTTAGCATTTTTCTTCATGGAAAATATCCCATATATTTGATTGCAATAAATATTTGACACATAATGAGAAACATTGATCCCTCATTAAACACAATAAAATAAGACATGCATTTTGTATTTCACTAAAGAATAAAACAAGACTATGTATTTTATAATTAAAAAGAAAAAGACTATGCATTTCATCAAAGAATAAAATAAGACCACGCAGAGACCAAAAAATTATATCAATAAATTGTTTTTTCAATTGACATCATGATACCAAAAAATATAAGCTATAAATATGAGGAAGAATTTGTTAAGGAATACACATCTTTTCATACAAAGTTTTATCTTCTAATAAAAAATGAAGATTTCCTACAACTCAATCCCATTTCGCTTCTTCATCATCTTCACTGCTTTCTTATGTATATACTTTGCTATTCAAAAGAAAAAAACTAATAAAAATGAAGATATCTTAAGTATATCTTCAAGGTTTGAGGTCCCAACCAGTAAGTACACCTCCATATTGGGTCCTCAATTTGATAAGCTACCTAATCAAGATGATATTTTAGAATTATTTCATGTATGGAAGAAAGAACATGGACGAGTCTACCGTGATCAAGAAGAGACGGAAAAGAAATTTGAAATTTTTGTTTCAAATTTGAAGTATATCGTAGAGACTAATGCTAAGAGAGACTCACCATATAGTTCTCTTCTTGGTCCGACCACCTTTGCGGATTTGAGCTTCACGGAGTTCAAGGAAAAATACTCACGCAATATTGACATGTCCGAGATCAGTGAAGCTATGAATATTGTGAAGGATGATGTTGGTGATTCATCATGCAGTAATCCACCTCCATCATGGGATTGGAGGTCAGAAAAAGCTGTTACTTCTGTTAAGGATCAAGGCCCTTGTTGTGGTAAGTATGTTGTGTATTCATGATGGTAATTTACCGAAAGAGTCCATCATATTATACGAACATAAAGTAAAAAACTCAATTTTGACGATATTAGATTTCATTTTATTAGGTAGTTGCGCGTCATTCTCAACTGCTGGTGCCATTGAAGGAATAGTTGCAATAGTGACAGGAGAGCTTCTCGATCTTTCAGCACAAGAGCTTGTGGATTGTGTAGGTAATGGTTGCAAAGGGGTATTTGTATACGAAGCGTTCCAATGGATTATGAGTAAAAATAAAAAAGGGCTTGCATTGGAGAGTAAATACCCTTATACAGGAGTGGCGGCGCCTTGCAAAGCCTCAAAGGTTTCTTTAACTTCTACCAAGATTATTATATATCTTTTTTAGAGTGTTACATTAATTTCACCACTTTCTTTCACGAATTGCAGATTCCAAACAGTAAATCTAGTCTGATTGATTCATTTTATCATGTGGACAAATCCGAGAACGCACTATTGTGTGCAGTTGTTAAGCAGCCAATTAGTGTGTGTATTAATGCATCAACAGCAGAATTTCAAATTACAATGTAAGTCTATGTATAATGTATTTTTTTTCTACGACATGCAATAAAATAAATCTCTTAATGAAGAACATGTGTATCCATTGACAGGGAATATATGTAGGTCGCGAATGTTTGGTGGATTCTCTGGGTATGACTCACGCCATGTTAATAGTGGGTTATGCTTCTCATGAAGGTCAAGATTATTGGATAGTGAAGAACTCACATGGCAAACTATGGGGCGGAATGGGAGGTTATATGTTTATCAAAAGAAACACTGGAAAAAAGTATGGAGTGTGTGCAATCAATGCATGGGGTGTATACCCAAACAAGAAGAAATGAAGTTACCTAATTTCTTTTTATCTCTCTTCAAGAAAGAATTCAGAGGGCTAAGAATTTAAATTTGAAGAAGAAATTAAAGCAAAATTTACTATTTTGAGTCTAGAGTTGTTGTGTGAGTTTCTTGAAGTTGTTTTGAACGTGTCTGTTCTCATGGATGTAATTCTTGATGTAATATAGCATTCATGATAATAAAATGGCTGGTATTGTGCGTATCATAAAATAATAATGTACCAAAACATTTAATCTGCTTTTAATGCGCTGCACTAATTCATGTGTGTGGGATGATTGGATCCTTTTTGGAAGCCAATTGTAAGTCTCCTTTAATACTGGTGGTTTCTTTTTCAGAGTGAGTTAGAGATGGTAGAATCTCCATAGGAAGCGAGGGCATTAGACTCATTTTGGACTTGCCTCATAGCACCAATCTAAGGATCTCTCCACTCCCTTCTTGAATTCAAGTATCGTTAGTCCTCCAATTTTTACTAGTTTTTCTATGTAGGATAGTTTTCTCAAGCCTATTCACAAGGAGAGATAGAGCTCACAGGGACTTAACTTATAATCGAAAGAAAAGAGGTTTCATCCCTCACTTATGCAACTTATATATATATATATATATATATATATATATATATATATATATATATATATATATATATATATATATATATATATATATATATATATATATATATATATATATATATATATATATATATATATATATATATATATATATATATATATATATATATATATATATATATATATGTATATGTCTGGATGGTGCTACTTTTCCCCATGTTTTTTGTCGCCTAAGCCATATTTTTTTATCTTCCGAGTTAAAGCGATTCAGGTGTTCAAAGTTACTATGAAGATAGGTTACACTTACCTTCTTAGAGATGAGGTGGAGATTAAGAGATTATTGGGTCTAAAAGATAGAAATAGGCAATTAAGATTTGTTGGGTATCTTAGCTATGTGTCGTTGATAGGTTCTTTTAATCCGTGTGGATTGAGTAGTAGGATTAATAAGAATAAAGTGAGAGATCTCATTATCTCTAAGTCTCTAGAGTTTCTTAAATTTCAGGAGACTAAACTTTCTAAAGTTTCTACTTCTCTGGTCCATTCTCTTTTGATGAACCCGTTTTGTGATTGGAGTTACTCCCCGTCAGTCGGGAACACTGATGGCCTCTTTTTTGTGTGTAATTTTAAAGGGTCCTCTATTTTCTCCTTTGTAGGCCTTGGATATCTCAGGGTTTGTCTTGAGTGGGGGTATTTTAAGTGCAATCCTAGAGACAAGAGAATTCTATGGAAAGATCTGTTTCTGAGGAGGAGTTTGATTGATGAGAATGTTTTGTGTGTTTTGGACGATTTTAATTCTGTTTATTCTTCTTTTGGTAAGATTGGTGGTGAATCCTCTGAGTACGGGGCTAGGGACACACTTTTGTAGAATTCAATAATTTCATTAATATTATTGCCGATAGTACAAAGCTTAATCATTCCCTCTGCGAAATATCATTTACCTATAAATACACCATTACGGGGCACTATGAGTTTGCCCGATTCATATATAGATTTAATTCCCGGTTTACCCAACAAATCCCTACTAACAAGATTCCTAGTCATGTCGGAGACATGAAGCACATTAACAAGAGTGACTTTCTTTCCGGAAGTGAAGTTTAGTTCAATGGATCAGATTCCAACAATTTTAGATCATACTTCATTTCTCATTTGTACTTCCTGTCTATCAATTGTCTCTAAATAGGTTTTGAAAGCAGCCTTGTCATAACAAACATGTAAAATAGCACATGTGTCATATAACCATCCTTGCATTTTGCCTTTGATTGTCATTACTTCGCTCACCGTAGCGATTATGTCATCATTTTCATGAACTACATTGACCTCATTTTTTGACTTGATGTGCCTACAATCTCGAGCATAGTGTCCGGGTTTTCCACATACAAAACAGCCGTTTTTCAGACCATTCGGTCCGCCAAAATTTTTGAACTTGTTATGTTCCTTTTTAGGTCCAAGACGACTCTTCATGCCATCATGTTTCTTTTTTTGTTTAGCTGTCACAACATTGACTTTGGAAGACTTGCAGATTCTGATTTCTCCATTTCCTTCAATTTCTCCTCGATTTGAAGATGTTTATGGATTTTCTCTAAAAAGAAGTCCTCAGAACTATGCAACAATTTTTTTCTATAGCCTTTCCATGAAGGTGGTAATTTTACAATAATTGAACCAACTTGAAAGGTCTCAGGAATGTCTATTTTCACATCCTTTATTTTATTCACGAAAACTTGTAACTCGTGCACTTGGGGAAGAATGTGCTTGGAATCTATGAATTTAAACTCAAAGTATTTAGAAATTTAAAACTTCTTTGTACATTCCTCTTTGGCCTTGAATTTAAATTCGAGTAATTTCCAGATTATTGGATAGTAAAAAACTCACATGGCAAACTATGGGGCGGAATGGGAGGTTATATGTTTATCAAAAGAAACACGGGAAAAAAGTATGAAGTGTGTGCAATCAATGCATGAGGTGTATACCCCAACAAAAAGAAATGAAGTTACCTAATCTCTTTTTATCTCTCTTCTAGAAAGAATTCAGAGGGCTAAGAATTTAAATTTGAAGAAGAAATTAAAGCAAAATTGACTATTTTGAGTCTAGAGTTGCTGTGTGAGTTTTTTGATGTTGTTTTGAACGTGTATGTTCTCAGGGATGTAATATAGCATTCATGATAATAAATTGGCTGGTATTGTGCGTATCACAAAATAATAATGTACCAAAAACATTTATTCTGCCTTTTATGCGCTACACTAATGCATGTGTGTGGGATGAATGGACCCTTTTTGGAAGCCAATCATAAGTCTCCTTTAATACTGGTGGTTTCTTTTTCGAAGTTAGAGATGGTAGAATCTCCATAGGAAGCGAGGGCATTAGGCTTATCTTGGACTTGCCTCAGAGCACCAACATAAGGACCTATCCACTCCCCTCTTGAATTCAGGTATCGTTAGTCCTCCAATTTTTATTAGTTTTTGTATGGAGGACAGTGTTCTCAAGCCTATTCACAAGGAGAGCTAGAGTTTACAGGGTATTTACTTATATATATATATATATATATATATATATATATATATATATATATATATATATATATATATATATATATATATATATATATATATATATATATATATATATATATATATATATATATATATATATATATATATATATATATATATATATATATATATATATATATATATATATATATATATATATATATATATATATATATATATATATATATATATATATATATATATATATATGGCTTGATGACGCTATTTTTCCGCGTGTTTCTTGTCGCCTAAGCCATATTTATTTATCTCTCGATTTTTTGAAATTGTTATATAGTAAGAAAGCGACTCAAGTGTTCAAATTTACTATGAAACTAGGTTACACTTACCTCTTTAGAGACGAGGTGGAGATTAAGAGATTATTGGGTCTAAAAGATAGAGATAGACAATTAAGATCTGTTGGGTTATCTCAGTTGTGTCTGATGTTGATAGGTTCTTTTAATCTGTGTGGGTTGTGTAGTAGGATTAATAAGAATAAGGTGAGAGATCTCATTATCTCTAAGTCTCTAGAGTTTCTTAAATTTCAATAGACTAAATTTCTGAGGATTTTACTTCTCTGGTCCATTCTCTTTTGGGGATCTTGTTTTGTGATTGAAGTTTCTCCCCATTAGTCGGGAACAGTGATGGCCGCCTTTTTTTGTGTAGTATGAAGGGGTCCTCTATTTTCTCCTTTGTAGGCTTTGGATATCTCAGGGTTTGTCTTGAGTGGGGTATTCTAAGTGCAGTTCTAGAGACAAGAGAATTCTAAGGAGATATATGTTTCTGAGGTGGAGTTTGATTGATGAGAATGTTTTGTGTGTTTGGGGCGACCTTAATTCTGTTTATTCTTCTTTTGGTAAGATTGGTGGTTAATCCTCTGAGTACGGGGCTAGGGACACACTTTTTGTAGAATTCAATAATTTCATTAATATTATTGTCGATAGTACAAAGCTTAACCATTCCCTCTGCGAAATATCATTTACCTATAAATACACCATTACGGGGCACTATGAGTTTGCCCGATTCATATACAGATTTAATTCCCGATTTACCCAACAAACCCCCGCTAACAAGATTCCTAGTCATGTCGGAGACATGAAGCACATTGACAAGAGTGACTTTCTTTCCGAAATTGAAGTTAAGTTCAATGGATCAGATTCCAACAACTTTAGATTGTACTTCATTTCTCATTTGTACTTCTTGTCCAACAGTTGTCTCTGAATAAGTTTTGAAAGTAGCCTTGTCATAACAGACATGTATAGTAGCACATGTGTCATATCACCATCCTTGCACTTTGCCTTTGATTTTCATTACTTCGCTCACCGTAGTGATTATGTCATCATTTTCATGAACTACATTGACCTCATTTTTTGACTTGATGTGAATCTCGAGTATAGTGTCCGGGTTTTCCACATAAAAAACAACTGTTTTTTAGACCTTTCGGTCCGCCAAAATTTTTGAACTTGTTATGTTCCATTTTAGGTCCAAGATGACTCTTCATGCCATCATGTTTCTTTTTTCATTTAGCAGTCACAACATTGGATTTGGAAGACTTACAGATTCTGATTTCTCCATTTCCTTCAATTCCTCCTCGATTCAAAGATGTTTATGGATTTTTTCTAAAAATAAGTCCTCAAAACTATGCAACAATTCCTTTCTA